CAAAACAAAAATGGGTGTTATTTACGAAAGTTAAATTTATACTTACTTTACATGTCTATATATCAATTTATGAAATGTTAATAGTTTTAACGGCGAAGCTCACACATACATAAAGAATATCAAAAGTTTATTTTCCCATTAAGGAAGTATTGCCACGATGCAGTGTGCTACCGGGAGACAAATATTTTAAGCTGTATCTCTCTACATGTCGTAAAAGTGACTACCTGTGGGACTTCCCTAACAGGTCGAGGGTGGTTTTCACTGTATCGCTCTACATGTCGTAAGAAGCGTCTAAAACTATGGGACTTCCCTTGCAGGTCGAGAGTGGTTTCCCTGGTCGAGGATTCGATTTTATAATAGCAGGTCGTGACAAAAAGGCACACTTATCCTCATAAAAACGTAAATAAATCTCCTTTTGGAGGGACGTTTGGGGTAAATTCTGCTGAGGATTAAAAATAACAAAGAAATAGCGAAAATATTCTTAACTCAGATTAAATAAAACTAGGGCAAATCTGCAAAAATGAAAGATTCACATTGATATTCCCGAAAACGTACAGGCAGAATACGACCAGAAGTTCGTGTAGGGTAAGCGTCTTTTGCTTCGTGGACGCCATCCGCCATGTAATTCCAGGTCAGTCCAAGTAAGTAATGTCACGTTCCCAAATGAGAACCAGGTAAATAACAACGGAAAGTCGAGGTTTGCTTTAATTTCCAAGTGTTACTTTTGAAATTATATGCATTGCATTCCTTGCGCAATCTCAAAACAAAAAATCAAAATTTGGCTCATTGTCTATCACTGATAAATCATAAAAGGACAAAATAGCTGCAAGATGTTGTTAGATTTAATATGTGGCTCCGCTATATTTAATTCTAACTTTATATTGAAATGTGCTATTCACTTGTGTGTCATTTGTACAATCTTTCAATTGTAACCGTACATGTAAATTATGTATGTCGTTATCGTTGGCTTAGTTTATAAACTGTCAGGGTAATTTAAGGACGTGCCAGGTTTGGTTTCTGGAGGGAGGCCGGAGTTCCCGGAGAGAAACCATCGGCCTGAGCCAACTGCATCGAACCCGCTACCCAAAGGTGGGGGGCAAGTGATTAAGACTTGAGACGCCTGAACCATTCAGCCATCGCGGCCCCGCTCAGCTCCAACGTTATTGTTGGATTAGATTGGTTAATAAAGGGAGTCATATTCATAACATAGTGCTTGGTAAAAATATATTTTATTGCAACTTGTATTTGATAAGATATTTCAATACAGCAGCTCTCGTGTGACGTAAATGTCAAAATATCAAAGTAGATATCTCAAGAGGAGAGACGGTAACCACAAGGAAGTGTTTGTAACGCTGTTGTCACATTTCATACGAGTAAATATGACTAACCTTTAGATAAGACAAATTATAAGTTTTTTGAAAGTTATGATATTACCTGAGGATAATGTCTGTCTGAAATCGATTTTCTTCAACAATTTAACAGTCCCTTTATACAATTATCAAGTTTATGATTTACGTCGCTATACCTATATAACAATTGTATACCACCAGCTACCATGGAGAGTGATTATGTTTTAACAGGTGACAGTTAATGCATTCAATTATGTAAATGTTTCCAATTTAAGTTTAGCTTTTAAAATTTAAATTAGGAAACAATGCAAATCCCAATTCGTCACCATAAAGCATGGATGGTTTTCAATATCAGGACCGGAATCGGGTCTTTTTTATCCATTATGTCATACATCAAAATGGTGGATTATGTATTCAGAATGAATGCAGGTGTCATATCGGTCAAGTCATGCATCCGATCGGGAGAATAAAAACACTGTTATGTGATTTTTACAGGGGGTTCGATTATGCATAAATATTCGTGACAGAAACACATTAAATAAATTGAAATGCTATTTTTTCTACAAATGTCGGTCGGACCTCCACCGCTGCCGCAATGGTCTACCTTATTAACGGTTTGTCGATGCATATTACTCTCCTCCGTCGTGTAGGCGAGAACATGAGCCACACGTATCCGGTTGTATTTAAGCTCTGAACCGAAATAAGTTGTAACCAAAAACAATGAAATGAGCTTTTAATCCCTACAGAAACCAGCAGACCGTTTTAATCCCTACAGAAACCAGTAAACTATATATAGTCTGTATCAGTGTCTGTAGACCGTGTTAATCCCTACAGAAACCAGTAAATTATATATAGTCTGTATCAGTGTCTATAGACCGTTTGAATCCCAGCAGACACCCGTAAACTATATATAGTCTGTATCAGTGTCTATAGACCGTTTTAATCCCTACAGAAACCAGCAAACTATATATAGTCTGTATCAGTGTCTGTAGACCGTTTTAATCCCTACAGAAACCAGTAAACTATATATAGTCTGTGTCAGTGTCTATAGACCGTTTTAATCCCTACAGAAACCAGCAAACTATATATAATCTGTATCAGTGTCTGTAGACCGTTTTAATCCCTACAGAAACCAGTAAACTATATATAATCTGTATCAGTGTCTGTAGACCGTTTTAATCCCTACAGAAACCAGTAAACTATATATAATCTGTATCAGTGTCTATAGACCGTTTTAATCCCTACAGAAACCAGTAAACTATATATAATCTGTATCAGTGTCTGTAGACCGTTTTAATCCCTACAGAAACCAGCAAACTATATATAGTCTGTATCAGTGTCTGTAGACCGTTTTAATCTGTAAACTATATATAGTCTGTGTCAGTGTCTATAGACCGTTTTAATCCCTACAGAAACCAGTAAACTATATATAATCTGTATCAGTGTCTACAGACCGTTTTAATCCCTACAGAAACCAGTAAATTATATATAGTCTGTATCGGTGTTTATAGACCGTTTTAATCCCTACAGAAACCAGTAAATTATATATAGTCTGTATCGGTGTTTATAGACCGTTTTAATCCCTACAGAAACCAGTAAACTATTTAAAGTATCTATCAGAGTTCTTATATACCGTTTTCAGAAGGGCGCTAGTTAATGCGAGGCCTATTTTTAGTATATGACTAGCTGCTATAAGAATTATCGTTCGATGGTTTAAAGTTTACTAAACGTTGTTTGAAGGAGGATGTATTTTTGACAGAAATCATGACACGATTCCCTTGCTTAAGAATTATCGTTCGATGGTTTAAAGTTTACTAAACGTTGTTAGAAGGAGGATGTATTTTTGACAGAAATCATGACACGATTCCCTTGCTTAATTTGATTTTGCTTGTGTCTCTTTATTTATTTATCGTTGAAAACGGTTAACAGCTCTCTATAATACTTTGGTAGTTATTGATTCGATGATATATTCTGTTATAATGATGTTGTTACTGATGGTTTCGTCCATCACAAATCGTGTCATTGTTGTACATATACTCGATTTCTTAAAATAAACGAGTTCGTGGAGAGCGTCTGATTATCTTACTCGAAATTAATTCAGGTTTATTTTCGAACTGATTGAGGGGAAATTGTGATTAGCTAGTTATCTGCCCTTTAATGACCTCTTATGACACGAAGACATTTGTGAATCCCTCATACGCTGGGTGTAGGCAGTACACTGCATCATAGCTCGTACTGAAACACACAAGTGATAGCCGCTTTCAACACAAATATAGATTTAGATACAGTAGAGCAAAATGATCAATAAAACAGCTGTTTCGTCCTCCTGGGGCGCGTCAATGGGATAGACAATAACTCGACCAGTGTCCTAGGAGTTTGGCCTTGATTTTGGTTTGATCTTGCTCGAGGGATACAATGTGCACATTTAGGTTACGTTGAAAACTCATTGTTGAAGTCCAATACATTTTCGCGGTTATGAATTTCTACTATTTTATGTTTTTACTCTTTCTAAACTATTTCGAGACGATACTTCTTTTGCGAGTCTTTGATTTTTGTATTACGAAGCTATCATGATGACGATGCATTTTTGCGAGTCTTGGACTATTTAATGACGAAGGTATCATGTTGGCAGTGATGAATTTTTTCAACTGTTCTGACTGCGAATATTGCGAATATAAATCAAGAAGAAACTTAGCACAGATAGCAAAAAACCATTTATTTATATTTCAGCACACAGAGTGAAGATGATTACTTTCTTTACCGAATGCTAGGAGACCCAAATACATTGTTATCGAGGTCGCCTAGCCAGACAAACCCATTTACTTGTTGAGAAATTACACAATTACAAAAAAAATTAAATTATAGCAACTCGTTAAGTAACTGAAAAACACACGATTTAAGTCAGTAATTTGATTTAAATCAATTAAAAGGCCACTGAGAATCACCTACATAGCGTACTGCAAAGGCCACTGAGAATCACCTACATAGCGAACTGCAAAGGCCACTGAGAATCACCTACATAGCGTACTGCAAAGGCCACTGAGAATCACCTACATAGCGTACTGCAAAGGCCACTGAGAATCACCTACATAGCGTACTGCAAAAGCCACTGAGAATCACCTACATAGCGTACTGCAAAGGCCACTGAGAATCACCTACATAGTGTACTGCAAAGGCGATATTTTCGGTGAATCAAAATTTCGCGGTTTAAAAATCGATTAAAAAAGTACATATTTCACCAAAGTCTTTAAACGAGCGAGGCCGCGTTTCATTTTCAGTGTATCTATTTAACAGGGTCATTATATCATTCCGTCTATTATATTTGATAGCGTAAAGTGTTGTAACGGAAATCACAACTTTTACAGTGAAGCATTGATTGTCCCTTTGTAACAAATTTAAACTGTGGCTATCGTTATTATTTTATTGTTGTTAAGATATCTAAGGTAAACGACCTGATGACTTAGAATTCTTAGGTTACTGCATTTAAGCTTTATATTTATTTCCGCATTTGAAAGTAGTGTTACATCTAGAAAGGACAGGCTTCCGAGTGGTTGCCCCAACTGAATATTGGCAAGACGTTTGGATATTCTCGGGGTAGGACCTACAAACACATTTAATTGACAAATATATGTATGTGATTTTTCTTCGTAGCCCAGGCATACAAAGACTGCACGGAAAATGGCACGTGGTTTTCTCTCACCAATCCTAGGACAGGGCTAACATTCGAGTGGACAAATTATTCCACCTGTCTTGACATGGAGGTAAGTAGGCACAAGATCTCAAATATTGACATTTTTGTCCCTCATCCGATGTCATTAATTATCAGGACAAACGACGATGCAGTGTACTGGTTTGATTCCACGAAAGTGTAAAGATTATTTGGAATTTCTCGATATGATGATAATCCTCGACTGATTGGATTTTTCTCGACACCGGAACATTGGGTAGACTAATTAGAACTTTCTCCTCGTCGAGCTCTCGATTTCGAGATGTCTGACTAAAGCTTTCTCAGCATCCATATATTTCGATGTCAATATATTTGAACGGGCTGTTATACTTGCATCTGTCATTGGCGAATCTAAGAGACCCAAAATATCCAAGTCCTGTTGGAAGGGTGAATTTTGTACTCTGATATTAAAACAGAATCTGGCCTAAATCTGCCTAGCACTGTCAGTATTCAAACCATTCACTGCTCGTTATATTTTATAACAAAAGACACGAACGAATCTACTGTAAGGCTAAGAATACATTGTATCCGCATTTCATTTAATGCTTAACATGACAGGAAACGGAATATACTGTCTGATTGGTATGACGTGAACATCATCTGTTCATCCTCTTCCGCTCTCGCATAGAATTGTTCTCTCTGAGTTTTCATAAGTGATTAACCATTATCCGCTTAGATAATTTGAGACACGTGATAGAGGTGCCAGTTGTGATGATGTTATCGTTTCGAGAGGGGACAGCTAAGTTTATCACTGCTCATTATAGCTATATCTGTGTATATTTTTTTTATCAAAATCATGTTATTTTTTTTACCAGAATCAACAACAATTGGTGTATGTTGGATTAATATGTAGTCTTATCAGTATTATTTTACTGGTACCGTCATGCGTCGTATTTCTGGCATTTAGGTAAGTAGGACGTCATCATTAGTGGTAAGTCTTGTATAGAATTACATTCATGAAAACTTTCCACTCACGCCATGCTCAGCAACGAGAACACAATTTGACTTATCACATTTAAATGTAATTTTTTTGTACAGTATTTCAGATGATATAGAACGAAAGAAATGTGCTACTTTCTTATTTCGTTTGATGTGGACCAACAAAGGTGTTAGTTATTTTTTTAAATACCTTTTTATGACTTAATTTTCTTTTGTGTGATCTCAATGTTACTCAGTGTACTGTAGATCTCTAAAACGTTATGCCCTACGTCAACCTCTATCACCTCTTCTTTCACAAATTATTGTTATGTCCACAGACAGCTGCGGGTACAACAGAGGATTCGTCTTCATGTCTGTCTGTTCGTCTCGTTCACCGTGTCCGCTATCCTGACTATCCTCTGGGACTTTCTCGTCGTATATGATAGAGTTCAAAAAGCGCACAATCGGGAAGAGAGTCTGATGGTTCAGAACACGGTATACAATTCTACATCTGATTTCGTTATAATTACACGGCACGAGTCACACAAACTGGTCGACTTACAGAGTAGGGACAAGTACAACGACCGATTTAGGAAGTATAACGCTTATCTCTATGCTTACATACGTTTCTTTTACATTTCTTACGTTCATGATGAACTGTGAAATCGTTCATTTTCGTGCACGTTTTATTTTCATTCATCCCGTGTGTACTCTTAATTATCTAAGTCATAACTGTCCATGGACTTTTAAAAATAGTATATGTACATTTATTGAGCTATATAGATACAAAAAACCAAGTGTCCATGTAATAAGGTGGGTGTTTTGTCTTTTTTATATGTGATTTTACAGTATTTACACAATCTCTCACGTAATGTTTATTACGAGTTAATCATATCGTTCCATATCTTGGCCAGAATATTTTACCTACAACTGCTGTGAGACTGACACGCGACGTTCTATGTAATGACAACACCTATTTGTTCAATAATAAATCGATTTTTTTCCTGATGGCTCAATTTTCTTGGCTTTGACATAAAAGGTTTTTTTTTTCTTTCTTTTCTTTTTGCGGAAGTAATGAAGTGGGCTATGGTTTTCAGTGCTAATTTCATTTTCACGATGCTACTTTCATTCTATTCTCTAAAGAACTTTGAAGCTAATTTTCACGTGTTACAGGCTGGATGTAAGCTGATGTACGTCCTCCATCGATATATTCAGATGTGTAACTATTTTTGGATGTTCTGTGAAGGCTTCTATCTCCATCGACTCATTGTTCATGCCTTTGAAGTACCGAAGACTCTCATTGGCTATTACATATTTGGCTGGGGTGAGTATACAAGATATCATGTCATTCGTTATGTTTCCTTAGTAACATGCATACTTCCAGTTTAGAAAATCCACACACGTCTTGTCATGCATACACAGGAAAACATACTTAATTGTCATGGCATTGCCGTTGTTAATGTGACGAGTACTCTATAAAGCTATCTACAGAGAAATTCACGTCTAGATTTTTTTTATTCAAACTGGCATAAAATACATTAAGACACGATTTCTACGCTCATCTCAAACGTTAGCCCACAAGTTATTTTGTCCCGTTAAGCGAAAGGGCGTAACTACAACGATATAATTCTTATAGTCTCAATATTAAAATCAATTGATTTTGACAATGGCGCACTAGTTTGAAAAATGCTAAACATTATTCCAAAGGGTAAAAGTTTGTGATTGTTGTTGTTACAGGAGGGTCCTGGATACCTATAATTATATACTCAATAATCAGGGCAGTGGACAAGGACTTAGATCAGAGGTGGGTACATTTTGTATCGTCATTATTAGAGTTTAGAGGAAAACATTGACAACAAATATGATATAACAGCCGTTGACTATCTTATGTTTTTACAATTCAAATATCAAAAGATGATTTAGTGTTTTGTATCAAGGATTTGCCTTGTTTGTTTATTTACTGGCAGAGCTTCCAGAATATCGTAATCCTCTAAATGATTATTGTAAAGCTATAATAGGAGTTATCCGAGAAGACCTGCAAAGCGTTGCCGTGACATAGATCAACATGGCGTAAAATAACATCATATTATTTGTCTTTCTGCGTAGATTGTATGCTCGTGTGAATACAATCCAGTTAAATATTCAGAGTATAAGAGACTATTATGTAAAGCGCAGAGAAATTGTGTAGGACAATCCTTGGCATAAATCTCATTAAGCATCAAAAGTGTGCGTTACTTCGTGAAAGGTGGATAAATAGCACATAAACAAAACTAGAGTTAAATCTTGTCTGATCAGATTTCCAATTACTAACTACTGTGTCTTTAAAATGTAATTATAAAACCGCTGAGATCTAACTAACACGTGATGGGCACCACGATTATCTGAATGTGCCCCAAGAGGACAGTGATAATAGAAACACGTGTATCTTGACATGTACTTGTGTTAGTGTTTTATCTGTTAAATCAGATTAATCAACACGTAATCATTAATCAAAGGGAAAAACGGACATGTTAAACAAACGCAAATTCAATTAAACTAAAACAAAATACATTTCGTATAAACAAAAGAAAGATTTGCACGGATACCACTGGAAAAGTACAAGTACAAGGACCTGATGTTTTGGAAGGATACGTGTCTTCTACTTCATTGACAACACCTGGCATATAAATATTTGTCAATCCGAGTAAGTAATGTCACGTTCCCAAATGAGAACAGTGTAAACAACAACGGAACAAACAGGCAGACTAACGATAATCAAACACTGCATGTTCATAATAGAGTAATTTTCAATGATATTGTAGTGGCGTGGAGACCTGAACAGCCAACTTTACGGTAAACACGAGAGAAGTTTTAGGTCAGTTCTATCAAAGCCCATTTCCAATTTAAAACTGATTCGGCCGAGATGAATAAAATGTTTCTTTTTTTCTAATTTGTTTTACACCTTGTCAATATCAGCACGAACAAAATTTGATCGACACTGCCGGATAGCTTTTCAGCATTTTCAATTTGGCAGCGGAAATTCATTTCTAATCAATGTGACAACTGACGAACAGCTTGCATACGATCCGATTGCTAATTTGTTACTTGCCAAATTTGTAAATTTTGTTATCAAATTTGCCCGAAGGGAAACGGCAAATGGAAAATGCATAACACTCAATATTTAACATTGTGATGGAATAATCGTCTTTGATCCGATTCAATTTGTAGTTGTAATTCAAGGTTGCGTACGTTTGAATACGGAAGGGAAACAGGCCTATTAAATTTTCATGTATAATTTGGGCGTGTCTGAAGTTTTAATTATATTCAAAAACATTCTTTTCCGTTTCACTGCATGAAACAAGTGGTAACTGACACAATGACATTAGATCCGTACTTCTGGTTAAAAGGCGCCGTCTAGCGGCAAACTTTAGACAATGTACCACCTGCTGCACGAGACGGATCGTTACGTATAATAATGCCATTTTGTTCAACTCTCTGTCTTTCGACACAACCATAATTAGTTAATTTATAAATGTCAGCTTCTTTCCGCGAGTTATTATATCTTTGAATTCCAAAAATATATTTGGATTATCGGCTGAGTTGGTTTATCGATTTGGTTTATTGATCGATTGAGATTATTGATTAATTTAGATCGATTATAGATTTGTATTATTCGCATTTACGTTACAAGCATTTCATTGTGTTGGAATCCTGTTCCTTTCTGGGAGCACATCAACGTGCCTGTGTATATGTGAAACGTTAAGTGGCCACACAATACAGACAGATAACCAATTAAAACAATTCTGGAGGATGAACGTTTAGTGTTAAATGTACCCGAGAGTAAATGCTTTGGATTCAGATAACTGTTTGGTCGCTTGTGTTCCGCGCAATGTCTCTGTTATCGAGATGTAGACAAAAAAGAACGAGAATTCTTGTGTACTTCTGATGTTCAATTCAGACAGCCCTCCCTGGCGTATCATTCATCCTGTGTCACGAATCCACCACGCTGGACTGTAGGCCGACACATACAGACATCCGGTGTAAGCAGAGTCGTCTTTGGCGGAGAGAAATTCAAATTCTAGAGTCTCATCATAGTTAAACATACCGTTCTACATAGTCCCCGTCGTTATCATAGTTAACATACCGTTCTACATAGTCCCCATCGTTATCATAGTTAAACATACCGTTCTACATAGTCCCCATCATTATCATAGTTAACATACCGTTCTACATAGTCCCCGTCGTTATCATAGTTAACATACCGTTCTACATAGTCCCCATCGTTATCATAGTTAAACATACCGTTCTACATAGTCCCCATCATTATCATAGTTAAACATTCCGTTCTACATAGTCCCCATCATTATCATAGTTAACAAACCGTTCTACATAGTCCCCATCGTTATCATAGTTAAGCATACCGTTCTACATAGTCCCCGTCATTATCATAGTTAAACATACTGTTCTACATAGTCCCCGTCATTATCATAGTTAAACATACCGTTCTATATAGTCCCCATCATTATCATAGTTAAACATACCGTTCTACATAGTCCCCATCATTATCATAGTTAACAAACCGTTCTACATAGTCCCCGTCGTTATCATAGTTAACATACCGTTCTACATAGTCCCCATCGTTATCATAGTTAACATACCGTTCTACATAGTCCCTATCGTTATCATAGTTAAACATACCGTTCTACATAGTCCCCATCATTATCATAGTTAACATTCCGTTCTACATAGTCCCCATCATTATCATAGTTAAACATACCGTTCTACATAGTCCCCATCATTATCATAGTTAACATTCCGTTCTACATAGTCCCCATCATTATCATAGTTAACAAACCGTTCTACATAGTCCCCATCGTTATCATAGTTAAGCATACCGTTCTACATAGTCCCCGTCATTATCATAGTTAAACATACTGTTCTACATAGTCCCCGTCATTATCATAGTTAAACATACCGTTCTATATAGTCCCCATCATTATCATAGTTAAACATACCGTTCTACATAGTCCCCATCATTATCATAGTTCACAAACCGTTCTACATAGTCCCCGTCGTTATCATAGTTAAACATAACGTTCTACATAGTCCCCGTCGTTATCATAGTTAACATACCGTTCTACATAGTCCCCATCATTATCATAGTTAACAAACCGTTCTACATAGTCCCTATCATTATCATATTTAACATATCATTCTACATAATCCCCATCATTATCATAGTTAAACATTCCGTTCTACATAGTCCCCATCATTATCATAGTTAACAAACCGTTCTACATAGTCCCCATCGTTATCATAGTTAAACATAACGTTCTACATAGTCCCCGTCGTTATCATAGTTAACAAACCGTTCTACATAGTCCCCATCGTTATCATAGTTAAACATACCGTTCTACATAGTCCTCATCATTATCATAGTTAACAAACCGTTCTACATAGTCCCCATCGTTATCATAGTTAAACATAACGTTCTACATAGTCCCCGTCGTTATCATAGTTAACATACCGTTCTACATAGTCCCCATCATTATCATAGTTAACAAACCGTTCTACATAGTCCCCATCGTTATCATAGTTAAACATACCGTTCTATATACTCCCCGTCGTTATCGTAGTTAAACATACCGTTCTACATAGTCCCCATCATTATCATAGTTCCCTTCGTACATCCGATCTGATCATTTTCTAGGCATTTCGCACTTTGTTTTGCTAAGACTGCACTTTTAGATTTTGCTTGATTAGCACACCGTGTTTGAGAATGTTCCGAGGAAATTAGGTTTATATCACTACATGATGATCATTCTGCTATGGTAGATTTTGTCATCTCTTTGTAAGGACGCAAAACAGCTACAAGTATAATCCATGGTCCCCATCACAAAGATTGCACAACCATGTTTCCATGTTGTAGTTCTCAACAAATTTCATTTTGGTGCGATGGTTTCTTTAGATACAGAAGAAACTGTGTTTATAAAACACATACATTAGATTAAATTTGAGGAGGAAATCGTGTACGTTATCAACACTAGCAATCTGTAACACGATGTTCCACTTACATTCAATATTGATCGAATCAATCCGGCAAATGTCCATCATAGGATAAGAAAAGTTAAAACAGAATGGGATCAAATCAAGAAATATGGGAGGTAAGCTTTGTTAGGAGCGGAGGAGCTACAAGGACAATTAGGATTTGGTATGGAGAATATTTCTGGAATTTGAAAAGAAAAAGTATTGAATAGGTCAGGTTGGATAGATATGTTGATAAACAAAGAATGGTATTTTTAACATTGAATAATAAAACTTGTTCTGTTGAGGATTTAAAGTGATGAAACGTGTTGAATTTTGAATAGAATCACACAAAATTGTCGGGAGTTTTAGGGGGGATGTTGTTATTTCATTTTATCTTGTCAAGGAGAACAATGAGGATTTGACAAGAAACAAGTTGGGACTTCAAAGGAGAAAAGAATAATATTGTGTAATTAAAAAGAATATATGGCTATTGAATGTTGACATAAGATAAATATGGGAATTAAAGATACAATGCTATTCTTTTTATTTTGTTATCTAATAACGAATGTCATGATTATATACGAATAATGAATGCGGTTGTAAGGTTTCACAAGGAAACGTCGAAGTGTTACATAAACTTTTGTTTTCTTTCAATTTGTGATAGCCATGATTTAATAACAAGAAAATATTTTTTCCGAAGAGTGTTTCCTAATTTTAAAACGATATACCTACATGTGTAACATGTTTTGTGCTGTTTATCATTGAATCATTTGATTATCTCTACCCTAGGAACCATTAATATCTATTTACTGGTAATTGGTAATTGACATCGTGTTCATAAAAAACGATGAAAATGCAGTAGCACACGTGTCTGCCTGCCGAGGATTAACGGTTTGGACTTGATAGCATGCATATGTTTTTGTATCACTTTGATGTTTGTAAGGGAGCGTGGGGAGAATATCTGCTGTACAAGCGTCTGGGTGACTGAGATCAATTACAGTGTAATTGATGACGTAAACGCGTGTCCATCCAACTAGTGTCCAACTGTACAGATTTGTTAGCTTACATGTTATCAACTGCAACGATCAAATATCTCTAAACAAACAAATAAAGTGTCTTCGAAAAAAATATTAGTTTGACTTTTCAACGGAATTGTGTTCAAATTATTATCAAAACAAGCTTGCATCTATATGCATTTGGCTTGGTGCAGATGTCGTAACGTCACAGACGACAATGATATATAGGGACTCTGAAAACACGTCTCGTGAAAGTAATTAATTTGTGATTTTTTCAGTAACTGCTGGGTAAAGCATGCTGGTGGATTTGAATACGTAATTTACGTTCCTATACTGGTGACTTTAGCGGTAAGTTGATAGAATTATGTAATTACACTTTCTAATTAAAAAATCAATTAAATGTCAACTAATTGTACTACAAGACGCCCGTAAGTAACGAGTTTCATAGAAAGTGATAATAGCACTAAAGGTCGTTGTAGAAGTTTATTTATAGACATGAACTGGACCAAATGACCACGAACTGTAAAGATCATTGTAAAACTTTATTTATAGTCATGAACTGGACCAAATGACCACGAACTATAAAGATCATTGTAAAACTTTATTTATAGTCATGAACTGGACCAAATGACCACGAACTATAAAGATCATTGTAAAACTTTATTTATAAACATCAACTGGACCAAATGACCACGAACTGTAAAGATCATTGTAAAACTTTATTTATAAACATCAACTGGACCAAATGACCACGAACTGTAAAGGCTGTTGTAAGAGTTTATTCATAAACATAAATTGGACTTTTTGACCACGAACTATAAAGACCGTTTTTTCAATGGTACAAAATCTCGTGGTTTTACCAAAATCTTAAGTGAAAAATGACGCATTTCCTTGTTGTTATGATGTTTTGTATTATAATGGTACCATTGATTATTCTTTCAGATCAACATATTTTTTTTCATCAATATTTTACGGATTCTGCTGACACAGTTACAGTCTCATCCTAACGAGCCCAGTAATTACAGGTAATTAACAAGCGAACCTGATGTAAAACAAGCGATACTGATATCTTTAAATCAATCATATTACGAGTATATTTCTACTCCAACATCAAGATAATAATACAAGTTTGGTGATTTATGTACCCTTTATCAGACAGAATAAATGTACTGTGCTAACTAATCACGTTTCTAGCACCTAACTGGGTTATATGTGTTTTTGTTGTTTACCAGTGGTGATGGTGTCTGTCCACTGATTGTACATTATTGATCTCAGTAAAGTGACGTATAGCAGTTACCTTGTCCATGTTGGTGGCCATGTGAGGACATTTCGGTGGGATTACTCTAGCATGTCCATGCGAGGACATTTCAGTGGGATTACTCTAGCATGTCCATGTGAGGACATTTCAGTGGGATTACTCTAGCATGTCCATGCGAGGACATTTCGGTGGGATTACTCTAGCATGTCCATGCGAGGACATTTCGGTGGGATTACTCTAGAATGTCCATGTTAGGACATTTCGGTGGGATTATCCTAGCATGTCCATGTTAGGACAATTCAGTGGGATTACTCTAGCATGTCCATGTTAGGACATTTAAGTGGGATAAAACTATTATGGTCATGTTAGGACATTTCAGTGGGATGTCTCTAACACTTTAATGTAAGGACATTTCATTTGGATGTCTCTATCATGTCCATGTTAGGACATTTCAGTGGGATTACTCTATCATATCTCATTCACTCGTATCACCACCTGTATTTGACATCAACTACTACTGTTCATAAAATGCACAAAACCGAATATTTATAAAGGACGGGGAACTTAACAATACCATAAAGCAAATTCGTCCTTCGTTTTTCGATGAATGAAGTGTTCGTGGTTTATGGAGACCTGTAAACAAAATTGATCAAATGTTCACGAAAAATATGATATACTTTTAAAACTGATTCGGATTTAAACCAATATTTTAAAAGCTAAAAAAATAAAACCCCTCGAAAATAAAACCTTAAGCAGTATCTACCATTGCAGGGAATTATAGAAATGACCACTAGAGTAGCATTTAGCATCGCATGGGTTTGTAAGATGACAACTTGAGCAGTCTCTGCCATGACAAGAGATTGTAAAATTGACAACTAGAACAGAATCTACCATGACATGGTATTGTGAAAATGACAACTTGAACAGAATCTACCATGACATGAGATTGTGAAATTGACAACTTGAACAGAATCTACCGTGACATGGGATTGTGAAAATGACAACTTGAACAGAATCTACCATGACATGAGATTGTGAAAATGCAACTTGAACAGAATCTGATATGACACGAGATTGTGAAATTGACAACTTGAACAGTATCTGATATGACATGAGATTGTGAAAATGACAACTTGAACAGTATCTACCACGACGAAAGATTGAAAAATTGACAACTTGAACAGAATCTACCATTACATGAGATTGTGAAAATGCAACTTGAACAGAATCTACCATGACATGAGATTGTGAAAATGACAACTTGAACAGTATCTGATATGACAAAGTAATTGTAAAATGACAACTAGGACTGCATCTGGCATGGAAGGGAATTGTGAAAATGACAACATGAACAGTATTTATCATGAGAGGAGATTGTGAAAATGACAACTTGAACAGTATTTATCATGAGAGGAGATTGTGAAAATGACAACTTGAACAGTATTTATCATGAGAGGAGATTGTGAAAATGACAACTTGAACAGTATTTATCATGAGAGGAGATTGTGAAAATGACAACTTGAACAGTATTTATCATGAGAGGTGATTGTGAAAATGACAACTTGAACAGTATTTATCATGAGAGGAGATTGTGAAAATGACAACTTGAACAGTATGCGTCATGAGAGGTGATTGTGAAAATGACAACTTGAACAGTATGCGTCATGAGAGGAGATTGTGAAAATGACAACTTGAACAGTATTTATCATGAGAGGAGATTGTGAAAATGACAACTTGAACAGTATGCGTCATGGCAGAGGCGAGTTGTTCAGGATTTATTGATTTTACTGTGATTATCAATTACGTTGCTTTCTTCTACATTGGAGAACAGGTAAAAGTAATGGATTTCTTGACATGGCTCTGAAATTCCTTTTATGTTTTAATGATACGACGTTGATTTAACATTTACTATATTGGCAGGTAATTAACTTTAGGTTTTGTAATCATACAACTATAGCATTAGCTTCCCGTGTCATTATCAAACTCTAACGGTTCATACAGATACATATTGATTGTAGGCAACGAAGAATCGGAACGCAGTCCCGAATACGGGTATTCATTTAATTTTACGTCATTTGCAGCGTAAAATTTGAAAACATTGCGTTTCGAGACTGAATAATACCATTAAGCTTGAATCCAAATTTCCACTTAAAGTTTGCCGTCGAACAATCGATTTCTATTAAAATTAATCTTAGCAGCAGTTACACGCTGATAAAATCAGTGTACAATCTATAGTGTAGTCTTTAACTTCCGTTCTCTCGTCACAACTTCCATTTGACATTAATCCTGTTCACTGTAAATAAGGACGCGAGTGTCGTTATTAGAACTTTAATTTTTGTTGTGGTTTAGAATGTTATACTAAAATAACAAGCAACAGATATATGTAAGTGATTCATTTTAACGAGTATATCATAAAATTTTACATTGTATGGTGACGTCATAATGGAAACACTATATATAGAATTAAGAATGACACTGAAAAATATCAAATATTATATGTTATATCTCAAAAACGGAAATTGTGAAACAAACTAAAGTTCCTCTTTAGCTTCAATGTTTGTTTTTGTTTCCTGGTTTATGTTTTTTGTTTTGTTTTGTTTTCTTTTTCATTTCATCCTCTAAAAAAAAAAAAAAAAAAAAACGGTAATAAAAATTTCTACAAAACGTTTCCATGTGTGGTAACTTGAATATAATAATCTACCTGTACATAATACCTCTAATGTAACTACCTGTACAGAAATGTTTCTATACGTGATACCTGTAATGTAACTACCTGTACAGAAATGTTTCTATACGTGATACCTGTAATGTAACTACCTGTACAGAAATGTTTCTATACGTGATACCTCTAATGTAACTACCTGTACAGAAATGTTTCTATACGTGATACCTGTAATGTAACTACCTGTACAGAAATGTTTCTATACGTGATACCTTTAATGTAACTACCTGTACAGAAATGTTTCTATACGTGATACCTCTAATGTAACTACCTGTACAGAAATGTTTCTATACGGGATACCTGTAATGTAACTACCTGTACAGAAATGTTTCTATACGTGATACCTCTAATGTAACTGCCTGTACAGAAATGTTTCTATACGTGATACCTCTAATGTAACTACCTGTACAGAAATGTTTCTATACGTGATACCTCTAATGTAACTGCCTGTACAGAAATGTTTCTATACGTGATACCTCTAATGTAACTACCTGTACAGAAATGTTTCTATACGTGATACCTCTAATGTAACTACCTGTACAGAAATGTTTCTATACGTGATACCTGTAATGTAACTACCTGTACAGAAATGTTTCTATACGTGATACCTCTAATGTAACTACCTGTACAGAAATGTTTCTATACGTGATACCTGTAATGTAACTACCTGTACAGAAATGTTTCTATACGTGATACCTGTAATGTAACTACCTGTACAGAAATGTTTCTATACGTGATACCTCTAATGTAACTACCTGTACAGAAATGTTTCTATACGTGATACCTCTAATGTAACTACCTGTACAGAAATGTTTCTATACGTGATACCTCTAATGTAACTACCTGTACAGAAATCTCATGTTTCTATACGTGATACCTCTAATGTAACTACCTGTACAGAAATGTTTCTATACGTGATACCTCTAATGTAACTACCTGTACAGAAATCTCATGTTTCTATACGTGATACCTCTAATGTAACTACCTGTACAGAAATGTTTCTATACGTGATACCTCTAATGTAACTACCTGTACAGAAATCTCATGTTTCTATACGTGATACCTCTAATGTAACTACCTGTACAGAAATGTTTCTATTATTCTCTTTATTGCCTCCAGAGATGAAGATTACAGAAGAATGTTGAACATATATACAAAGCGTACGATACATATATAAATGATTACAGAATATGAATAACATAGATACACACTTTATGCTTTAGGAGTAGGCATATCAAGTGCAAATTAAGCGAAAGGGGGTATTTTAAGGTATACCCAAGAGTTTCAAAATACAATTTTCTGACACAAATCAGGTAAACTATAATGAATTGTTAAGTCACATGACTCCTATAAAATGTACATGGACTATTTGTTATCTTTATCATTATATATATTAATTATAATATAGTTTACACATCTTGAACACACAAATACAGGATTTTATCCTGAATTCAATCAGCTCTTCTGCACTAATTTGATAGTTTACATTTCCTCCAATCAATATATGTAATAACTGAAGGTCTGGGAGAGAGTGTAAATAAACACTAAACAGTATATCAGTGGTATTAATTATACTGCACCACAGTTGGTCCCTCAACTCGGAAGTATAAATACACTGTAGCACTAGATGTGTCATAGGGTCTTGATATAGAAACCCACATTTGTGACATAATTCCATGGTAGTCAAGCTACGAATGGTTACCACTATTTTCATTATGTAATGTATATATTTTCTGTATTGAGGAAATCGAAGTGCTAACTTCCATAAAATACTAGGTTTGGGTTGGTTATGTATTTCTCTAAACCTTGTAAAATCATCATCAAACTTCATACGTTCCTTTAGATTGTACTCTTCATATTTCATTACAGCATTATATACTGTTGTTTTCCAATGGCTTTTCTTTCGAAAAATTCCAGTTTCTACAAAAGTATCTAGATTTTGAAGCAGTGAATACTTTTTTAATATTTTGACTATGTCTGGGATGAAACCGATCTGGTATGGTCTACCTAGTCGAAACAAAAATAGTCTGGTAATGAAAACTTTA